AAAAAAAAAAAAAAAAAAAAAAAAAAAAAAAACCTTCAGTTCATGTCTTTCAGGGCTTGATAAATTCATCAAATAATGTAGCATAATTATATTCATTGAAGCTGATTTCTAATTTTGTAATATCCCTGCATGCTGAGCGTTTTTCATAGGGAGCAGACAGATATTATTTCTCAGATCTTGAAATCTGTTCATCAATTTTTTGGAAGAGGCAGCTAAATAATTTTAAATTATTTTATAGTTTCCTAGAAGAAAAGTTCTTTATGTATGAAAATTATAAATAACTTTTATTTTGCACCTCGCATAAAAGCTTACAGGTCCATAATGCAGTTTATGGGCCACAAGTTGAATGTAGATGATTTTAATGTATCTTAGTCTATGACAATTGAGATATTGCATATTTCAGAAATATGCTTAAATATATGTATGGTTTGCAGTTCTTTAATATAATTACATCACAGATTAAGTACTGAGTATTAATTTGTGTAAATATACTAAATATAAAAATTATGTATTTGAAAATGAATAATAGTTTACAAAAGGAGAATGATGATATATTTATATACATTTACATGAGTAATGAGATGGCAAAAAAGCGTAATTATTGGTAACATAATTATAAGGCTGATTTTGTTATATTTTTCTAGAGTTTCAGGGGGTCACATAATTTTAAATATTGATTTATAGTTCCTGTTTTCCTAATTTGCCATCTTTTATGTATAACAACTGTGGTTATAGTAAACTATTTGAAATTACTCAAATAATGAAAAGAGAAAAATTGATGTGTCAGTTTGAGCAAATATCCTGCAGAATGAGATTTTAAGTATATCTAAAGTAAGTATAGTGATATTTTCTTTGTTTATAATTATATCTTCTGTGTTAAAGTTTTGCTATAATTTTTTAATTTTTTTTTATTAAATTATCATTATTTAAATCTGTTTAATGTGTTAAAGTTTGCTATAATTTTTTAATTTTTTTTTTATTAAATTATCATTATTAAATCTGAAATTTTAGAATTCTTGAAAGTGATTTTGACAAGTATGATTTGCATTTATTATTTTTTTTTTAAAGTGGTAAAAGATTATTTAAATACTTAAGAAAATTTTTTTTGGAATCTTTCCTCTTTACTAAATGTATTTTTACTGCAGTGTATGTGTAACAAGTCTGTTATAATTTTTGAAGTTTGATATATTTTAAATTTCAGTTTTTTGGGAAGAGGGAACAAAGTAATGAATTAGATGCAATTGCTTTTTATTAAATATTTTTGTATTGGTGTTTTCAGTTATATTTAGTCATAAATGATGACTAATTCTACTGAAATTTCTGCTTACCCTAGTGCAGCTGGTGTTGCTAATATTAATTCTAGTTTTAATACGACTCATATTGTAGAGGATAAGAATATGTACTAATATTCCACCTATTATGACAAAGCCTAGAGAGGGATTTATATTTTATGCTTTTCTAAGGTTCTTAAGGGACGAACTACCTAGTTGCAACTTCTATGGCTGTCTGAGTGGTGAATTTTGAAAGTTCTACCCCAAGATGCTGATAGTCACTGTAACACTCAGTCAGTATTTCTTGAATAACGATGTAAAGCACTATGTAATCCACCACAAGCATAAAATGCCTGTTAAGGTTCTGCTGAGAGGTCTGCCCAATACAAGTATCATTACTGAAACTTTTACTGAGAGAGGTTTTACTGTGCACAAAGTTGTGCAGCTCACAAAATATCGTACCAAAGCTCCAATGCCCCTTTTCAGGTGTAGTAAATGTCTACCGCTGATTTGGCATGAAATTTATGACATGACATATCTCAATGCTCTTTCAAATTAAGGTTGAAAAGTATGTCACAAAGAACCAGGTTCCCCAGTGTCACATTTGCCTGAAATTGCATCATTCTTCTGAATTTTGGCTCCCAGGTGCGTAAAGTGCGCTGGGTTCCACAGAACTGGTAATTATGATCACCAAGGGCTTGTGGAGAATCCCAGGTGAGCGAACTGTCTTTGTCTGCATATTGCGTCTTATAAGGGTTGCCCAAAGTTTCCATCAGCTAAAATAAAGCAAAATTTCTTCCCTAATCAAGCCAGGCATCAGTTATGCACTAGCATTTAAGTGAAAGACTGCTGTTCAGGAAACTCGAAATGACTCTGTTGAGTCTGATACACAAGCAGCCATCACCATTACCCCCACTCAAGACTCTGAAAGAACTCCCGATGCTAGTGAGTTATCCTAGCTTATACATGTCCTAATGGGATTTTGTTGAACTTATGGCAACAACCTAGCTGGAATTATTAGAATTTATAAAAAGCAGAATTAACAATATCAAAAATATACTAATATTATAGATAAAATGTTTGTACTGTATGAAATCCTCAATGAGGTTGAAGGACTTAACATCCTTAATTAGACTAGATTCTCATACCTGTTACACTGCTATTTGTTCTCTTTGCTTTGAAACTGGCCTGAGTCTTTTTTGTACTCTGTCTGTTGCAATTACTCATACTTCAGCTTGTTATTTCTATTTTTGTTTTACTATCCACATGATGTTCTGCTACCTTAGGGATCTACTCACAGTCTTTTAGCCTTACAGCTGGCAGTGATTAGGCTATGTTTCAAGTTTTTGTCTTCTTTTTACACATGTTCTATTCTGAACTGAAATTTTCATCTTCATGTTCTTAGAAAGTGGCATATAATTGCTCACTATTCCTAGGTATTCCTAGGTATCTATTCTACAACTGGTCACTTGTTTTACTTTTGAATTGCATACATGTTCCGAAATCGCTGAAATGTGTTTGGTCTAGTGATAGCGTTTATGTGCGGATTCCCGTTTCAGCGAATTCTTTATCTGAGCTGAAGTGTACGATTTATAGTCACTCTATCTTGCATAAAGGTTTTGACTTTTACCTTTAAAGTCCAGTACAACAAAAGTGTTGAATATTTCAGACTATTGAAGATCTGTTACTGACCTCAAATATTGCTCGAAAACCTTCGCTTCAAAATGATCAAGGAAATGCTATTTGTGTGTCCATTTTAGATAAGTGCGGCAAGAAATCTTATAGGACACTTTGGAGTTTCCTTGGCTGTTTGCTGTGAATGCAGTCTGGTCCCTTGAGATGTAATGCCTTGTTACCTTGTAAAATTTTCTGTGACCACGGCACATCCATTTCCATTACGATAAGAAAGTTTCTGTATCAGTTATATGCAAATATTGGGCTTAGGTAAATTAAAAAAGATAATACAACAAATATTGTCTATATTCCAGAGGGGAAACTGTTAAGTATTTTGATGGAGAATAAAACATCAGTCTTCGATAGCAGTTACGGAAGCATTTTCAACTATACGTGAATTAACAAGCTTTTGGTCTTAACTGCGTTGAGATTTCTAAGCATTTTTACCTTGAATCAAGTAATCACTTTACTGACATCATGTGGAGAAATTAATCATAGGAAAATTTATATAAATCATTGCTAATGAAATTGCTAATTAGTGCAAGTGCTCTGTTGCTTTAGTTTATATAGACCAACTTCATAATTAATATACTTCTGGCAAGGTGATGACTTATAAATAAGTATGACTTAGCTGCAACACATGCACTTGTTTGCAGTGCTGAAATGCACTTTATATTTCATTTGATTTCATAATATTTTAGAATACAAAAGTAAATATTTAACATTCCATTTTAGGTTTGTCTTATCTATTTATTATGTCTTCCCCAGCTGTTTACTGTATTTTTCCGTATCAGAATTAGGGCCTAATTTTGTTTTCTTAGGACTGTTCTTCCTATCCCTTGAACAGCATATATAAAAAGTCACTGTTGTCCTGATAATAAGAGCTGTAATAAGCTTTAAATGATAAATGATAAAATTATAAATAATAACTTTTATTGTCACCTTGCATATTACTTTCACACTTATTGATCATCTTGCAGATGCTTCTAAAATTTAAAGGCGTGTTTTCTTTATCTTTTCATCAATTTAGTCATGGTATATTGAAATCTAGTGCCAAGACTTGGTATCTGTTGCCTCTCGATAAAATTAATTTAGATTAAGCATAGTATCTTAATTTTTGAAGTAATTCCAAACTTTTACCAAAATTTAAATTTGTTGTATGATAATGGTACATGTGATTGTGCATTACTTGTGGTGCTATTTTGTGATTGTTAATGAATTAATAAAGTCATGTGGCAACTGACAGATTCTGTAATAATGTGAATTCATTGTTAGTGTTCAGGGGCCAAGAGCTTTCAGATGTCGATGAAAGGTTATTCATCCAGAGAATAAAAGATAGTGGAAGTACTGCAGGAAGCACTGAACCTTCTAAATGTATGTTAGCTGCACATAGGGAGGGGGGAAAAAAACCATGAATAGCTGAGAGCAAAAGACCCATTCAGAATAACTGAAAGTGAAAATTAGTTTGCCAGTCTGCTATTTGGTGATTGAAAGATTCATATTATTCAAATGTTGTTTTTTAGTCTATATGTATTCTTTTGAAATTGAAAAAATAATTATTCTTTAAATTTTGTCCTATGAATAATAATATACTTACATGTGTGACCAAGGAATGAATTTCATAATTATTGTAAATAACCAGAAACATTAGCTAAGGAAAACAAGCTGTTGTTACCAGAATAATAGGAACCAACAATTATGGTTAGTTTGTAGTTAAGACTGCTGCTCAGAATGTGTTGTATAAATTGAATGGTTATATATTTTGATATTTTAATACAAAATTGTGACAAACTGCATATTAATATCTCTGAGGCTATTTTTACTTTTTCAACCAAGGAACCTTTTTAATACTGATAAAATGTTTCATAGAGCGATTTTATCCATATTAGTGTTTTTTGTTTAGTGTCTTTGTTTTGCTTTTATTTTTGCAAGGTAGAGCTGAAGTATCAGATTTTTTGAAGGGTTTTCATATGCAGATGTAATCTTTAAACCAGTTTTTGTTTCTGGAACTTTTGTGTGTATGTGTATAAGTTGTAAATATTTGTTCTGTTTTAGCTTGTGCCAAGTGACAGTTCTGAATTAGAGAAGTTAAAACAGTTGAAAGAGCAGGCACAACAGTGGAAAAGTCAAAACCTTCAACAACCTGCAGCTGCTTCATGGCCGTATTCAACAGCTGCTTCTAATGTTTCACAAACTGCAACTGCAACCACTGTCACTTCATCAGAATCATCTTTCAAATCACATGCAATTGCAAGTACAAATACATCTGATCCTGGCAATGCACAACAGGTTATTATTGGAGTATTCTTTTTGTGATTTTTTTGCATGCTGCTGTCTTGTCAGCTGATAAGTTTTCTGTACAAAATTGTGTTTTGATTGCACTACATGTGGGATGTATGTGTTAATTCTTTTTTTGTGTCCTCTAATTCACAAGAAAATCTTTTTGAGATTTGATATTTGTGCTCTGCAAATTAATGAAATAAACATTGGAATGATTTGAAAGAAATTTTACATGCCATATTTTCTTGCATATTGTTTTACCATTACATAATTTTCCTTGAGCATTTTACAATACAGTTTAGAAGCTTTTGATTTATTTGCATTATTTTGTACTACTTGCTGGACTTGCACAAGAATAATCAGTTCTTGGGATTTCTTGGAATTTTTTGCAGACAGGTAAAGAATTTTTAACAGTCATTTGTTAGCCTGTCATTTTTTGGCCTGTGATCCACATTACAACAGGATAAAGGATTTTGAAGGAGTAATCTGTAATTTTCTCCTTCCTTAGTAGATTCTTTTAAAATTTATTGTGCTGAACTTTTATCTTGAAAGTGGAAATTTTCGTTATAAATTACACAGTATATCATGAAATTTTGCTTTTAACCATAATTCATTCCAACCTATTATTTGAAGGAGAGTGGGAAAGATTTTGATTAAATAATTAACAGTAATTCCTAGTATGTCTAATTTATGCATGTTGGTTAACAGTATAAATTCTTCCTTTACTAGAACTGCAAAACTGGTATGTGCTGAATATACAAATACAGATGTAAAGAAAAAGCAGGGAATTATGTGAATAAATATGATATTCAAATAAAATTTAAAAAAAAAATTATGTAGGCTAGTTGATGGTTAAATTCTTCCTTTACTCCTGCTACTAGAACTGCAAAACTGGTATGCGCTGAATATACAAGCACAGATGTAAAGGAAAAGGAGGGAATTACCTCCTGAATAAATGATATTCAAGTAAAAATAAAAAAATAATAATTGGGAGAGGGGCAGAAATCTGAACATTTAAAAAAAATCTCAAAGTTCTTTTGATTCATAATTTGTCTGCTTATTCACTAAGGCGTTGTTTTAACTATTTAAGAAATAATACTGTAGATTAAGGTAAATATGAATGGTGTTCTGATATTTAAAATAGTTTATTTATAGAAAGTTATTTAGAGTGTTCTTATGTGGGACAACTGTGTGATTTTCATGATGTCTAATGTCAATATTAGTCATAAAAAGATCTTTATATATACAGTCGAATCTGCTTAATTGGACCACTGGATAATCAGACAAGCCACTTTTTCGGACCGAATCCTAAAGAACTGAAACAAATCCTATATACATAAGCCTAATATTATTCGCTTATTTGGACCAAAACTCTGTTTAATCGGACCAAAAAACGTGAGAGCCAAAGGAAAACCAATGGGAGGTGAACACGCGCACCATTTTCTTTGACCTTTATTAAAACAGCGCTACCAGTAGCCACCAGTGAGGATATTGGTCCCACTGGCGTCTCCTCCGATTTTCTAGGAAATGAACAATAGAGTGTCCCGCTCCACCTGAAAAGTATTACCGCCTGTCATTCATGATTAAAGTTTACATGAAAAAGCTATCATTTCACCATCCTTTTGGGATGATTTTAGTGCCAAAGCTTTGAATGTCGAGTATTTTAGCTCCAACTTGACCTCAACACCTTGACCCCGAAACACCAAGGTTTCTTCAGATCATTTTAGTCTGTAAACTGTGTGCATGTCTTGTCTCCCCTGCCAAAATGCTCCGACAGGACTTGACGTTAGCTGAAAAAATTGGTTTCCTGGATAGGATCAAGCAACAACCATGAAACACTAGTCAGCATCGGTTGGTGGAAATTACCGGATTGGCAAAAACTACAATTTCATGCTTGATAAAACAAGAGAATGGACACAATGTGAAGGATGAGCAGGAACTTCCAAAAAACGGAAGTGTGAAGGCAAGGATCCAATCATCGATCAGGCCCTTAATGAATGGTTTGCCATTGTTACTGGACGAGCTGTGCGAGTAAGTGGCCAAGTGTTAAAATGCAAAGCAGAAGAACTCGTTAAAAAGCTGGGCACAATAACTTTAAAGCTGCGGACAGTTGGTTGTCTCGATGGAAATCTAGACATGACATAAAATTCAAGAAAGCACATGCCGAGAAAGAAAGTGCTGACAGTGCAAATGCTGAAGAATGAAAATCAACAAAACTACCCAAGAGACTGTGGGCTGTATTAACCCCTTAACTGCCGCGGAAAACGCACAAGATTCATTCCCCAGTGCCATGGTTTTTCACATATCCGCGCGTAGTTATGCGATTTATTAGGGGGAAAATAAGAGCAAGTTTTACTTTCACAAAATAAACAGTAAAAGAAAAAAAATGAATGCACAAAATTTGATATTTTGAGTAAAAATATAATAAGATGTAAGTATAATAAAAAGGATGTTTTTATAATAAAAAGGGTCCATATAATGGGTTTTCGATCAATTCATTTTTAGACCAGTAAAGTGTAATATCATGTTTCAGTGTTATATACCTTGTGAAATCAGTATGCCTATAAAAACATATACTTCTTCTGAATTGGTTGAATGCCACGATATTGTTCTTGATTTTTCGTTTGCAAGGTGTTGTTAGTTCATATACTCGTCTACAAAACGGTTAGTTTCAGTAGCAATATAAAGCATGAGCAGTTCATCAAAAAATAATTCAAAAAAGATAAATGGGTTTGAAATATCCCTTATATCTTTCTTTATTCCTGGAACCTACTACAAAAAGTAAACTAAAGACACAGAATAAAAAAAAAATACGTTTTACTCAAACAACACTAGCCAATACCACGCAGTCATTACTTTCAGCACTTTAGACACGTCCCTCTCTTCAATTTCTCCCCACACTTCTCTGAAATAATATCCTCCTTCACATACTTCGTCAAGGTCATTCTGGTGTTGCATTCCAAAGGTTTGCGAAGAATTTTACGGGTAGCACCGCAAAGCAACTGATAGTATTTTGGAAGGGCGTATATATACGCCCGGGGCAGTTAACGCATCGGCTGAGCAAGGCGTATATATACGCCCACGGCAGTTAAGGGGTTAACATGATACACCGGATGGCTCGTTAAGTTACAAACATGTTGCACTCTCTGGCTCCAAAAAAGCGATGGATCGCGTAACTGTCTTGTGCTACTCAAACATGTCAGGAACGGACAAGAGGAAGCTGTTGGTTATGGGAAAAAGCACTAAGCCTCGCTGCTTTAAAGAACTTAGGAGGGCAGTTTACCAGTTGTGTATCGTACGAACAGAAATGCATGGATGACCTCTGAACTTTTTAAAGAAGGGCTGAAGGATTGGGACAAAGAGCTACAATGCCAGTCGAGAAAAGTGCTGCTTCTTCTTGACAACTATGCAGCACATCCTCATTTAGATTACTTGATGAACGTCCAACTGGAATTTCTACCTTCCAGGACCACAGCTTTGGTCTAGCCAATGAACATAGGCATCATCAAAAATTTGAAGACCCTTTATCGTGCAAGGTTGGTTAATTACGTCCTTGAAGCAATTGAAGAAGTTTGCTGACCTCATCGCCAAAAGCCACCGAAGTCAGTGCAAAGGTCAACATCTTACAAGCAGTTACATTTGTGGCTGACAGCTGGCAAAAAGTGAGCAATGAGACAATTCAGAACTACACGCGAAAGCATCGGAAGATCAAGAAAGTGATGATGATGATGTCACTAATAAGTTGGTGCAAGTGATAACAGAGGATGCGAGAAAATGCATCGAAACTTTGCGTCGGTATTTCATGCAGGAGGGAAATGAAGGCAGTCCCATTACTGCATTAGATGTTTGTGGCGATTTCATTCATGCTAAATCCGTCAATAAAACATGTCAGGTCACATTAAATAAGTTCCTCAAATGTTGACTGGAACTTGGTAAGAACTTGTTATTATTATACTTCACATGCTGTCATGGAGATTGTTTCTTCCAATTTATTTCTAAATTAATTTTCACAATGAAAAAAGTTCAACTGTAGTTCTTGTTTGTACATGTACGTTTGCCATATGTGTGTAATTACGCACAATAAAGGTCATAATTACATTTTAGTACATGATTTACATGTGCATTTACTGTTTGCCACATATAGCACGTCTCGTCTTACAACATAGGACATGTTTATGTAATCGGACCAGTCAGTTATTAGGACCAAAACAATCGCTTTCCGATGTGGTCTGATTAACCGGAATCGACTGTATATGCATTCTTGAGGGGTATATTGTGATTATAGATAATTCTAGTATGCTTTTGCTGTAATTATTAATAATTGCATTCATAATGACTTAGATTCATATGAATAATTTTTGAAATATGCACACATACAGTGATGAATATTAAAAAGTTTTTTTTTCTTTTTTTTTGCTGCTGCTTTTAATTTTTTAAATTATGTCAAGCCAGTAATCCATCTTGGCTGGATGTCCACTGACTGAGTGGGTAAGATGCTGTAGGTTCTGAAAATTTCAAGGATTGTCATGGCTTTTTTTATACACTGACGTAAAAAAAATCCTGACACCAAGAGAAAACATTATTGAGTAACAGAATTTTGACAATGCATTTATCTAGATAAGGTATTTAGTTGATTAAATTCTGTAGATAAAAGGTTAATGCAAGCACAAGAAGAGCCATTTCAAATGTGAAATGCTGGCATATTATTAACTGGTGTAACTGCCAGAATTTTGAATGCAAGCAGGCAAACATGCATGCATTGTGTCATACTAGCATCTGATGTCAATTTATAGGATAGAGTTCTGTGCTTGTTGCACTTGCTCGGTCAGTACAGGGGTGGTTAATGCTGGTTTTGGATAACACTGGAGTTGTCGTTCAGTGATTTCCTATATGTACTCGACTGGAGAAAAATCAATTCAGCTACAATAGTGGTATGAGAGCAAGTGTTATCCTGTCCCCTGAATGCTGTTTATGAATGTCAGCAGAACAGGTTGAATCACCAGACTGATTTACAAATTTGCAGTCAGGGCATGAGGGATGACCACAAGAGCACTCCTACTGTCATACAAAATTGCTCTCTAGACCATAGGTCCAGTGTGTCTAGGCTGCAGACAGATTGGTTGCAGGTGCTCAGTTAGCCTCCTTCTAACTAACACACGACCATCACTGGCACCAGGACAGAACTGGCTTTTATCAGAAAACAACAGATCTCACTCCATCCTGTAATGAGCTCTAGCTTGACATCACTGACTTTGCAAACGGCAGTGGTTTGGAGTCAGTGGAATGCACGTTACAGGGCATCTGCTTTAGCTTGGGAACTTGGTTGTTTGGGGGATGCCTTGGATTGGCCTTCTAGTAAAAATTTGTAACAGCATGTTGTGTTACTACTGTGCCAACTGCAGCTTGAATTTCTGCTGCAGACACAACACGATGCATAGCAGCCATACGCAGAACATGACAATCTTCCTTTCAATAATGCCATGTGACTGCCTGGAACCTAATCTTGAGCCAGTACCTTCCCTTGGCCACTGGTGCCATCATGCACAGTGAATACATTCCTGCCAAGTCTTTCTGCAATATTGCGGAAAGAAAATCCACCATCTCATACTTTTTCAAACTCCCCGAGCTTCTTCGTCTTTTTAGGCGTCATAGGCATTGTTGACTAACATCAACTCATTATCTCAAATCTCAATGCTAAATAATGCTCACAGACTTTACAGTAAAGCAAACCTGATTTGCATGTTCATAGTGAGACTACTGGCACCACACTTAGAACGAAATTTGAATAGATGTCATCTTTCAGATGTAATAAACACGACTAACAAATTTCGATTATCTAACACAACTCTTTCTTGGTGTTGAGATTTTTTCCCCATGAGTGTATGCTATTTAATATAGATCTTGTACTACAAATTCTTCCAGAGAGACATCCCTTTTAAAGAAGATAAGCCTTCAGTGCCCAAATAATAAGACTTGGAACTAGAATGCATTCTGTTAAACATTGTTGTTAAAGAAATATGACATTTCATTTTGGCTTATTGTTGATTTTGTGAAACATATTTTCCTTTTCATTTGACATGTAGTAGATTTATATACTTTTAATAGGTACAGAGTTACACCTGAAAATCTTTTCAATCATTTTGAATAGGTGTAATGATATGAATTATTGCTATTCTATGTAGTCATGAGGAATATATAACTATAAAAATCTAAAATACAGTTGTGCTATAAATATGAGCCAGAGCTGAGGCTTAGTGTCAGATTGCTCTTTCTATCTTTTTAATTGGTGGTAATAATAATTGAACATGTAGTTCTATAAAAGCTCTGAAAAAGGAGAATTTCGACTAATTTTATGTTCGTACCAGAGAAAAATTTATTTCTATTATTTATGTTTAAATTTTATTTTGTTTAAGTAATGAATAGCAGCCAAGATGTTCAGAAATGAAGATGGGCATTATTATAACAAATGCTAGTAGGCAAAATATTTAATTACCTTAAAGTGGAAGGGGGGAAAAAAATTAATGCATAACGAAATTCAGGTTCTAGAATTTAAAAAGAATTGAGGATCCTTAAATTTAACAAAGAAATTTGTCCGATAGGCATCAGTTTATAAAGCATTGAATATCTTTCTTAATTTGCTTTATCTCTACAAGTGCTGTACTTGATGGATCTGTACTCAGTTCTCATGGCAAAAGAAGAAACTTCATTCGAAATATGCTGTTTTATGATAAAAATCCGAAGATGACAAAAGTGCCTGTGGTACTGTCACAGGTCATGAAACATTGATATATCAAGTTTGAAGTAAAGAAAAGTGAGAATGTGAAGATTCCAGAAATAAGGAATCTGTGCCAAAAGTTTGAAGTGGTGGTGGGGGAGAACTACTCTAATTTCATTGCTTTTGTAATCATGCAAGATACCTGAACAGTTGATGTAAACTGGTATGTAGGTATTTGTCTTACTAAAGCAGGGGTTTCCATTGGGGGCCTTATAGATCTCCTGAGGGTCGATACAATTTTAAAAAGGATAAGAATGATTATTGGGAGGTCGATTTGAATATGCCTTGGCAGTTGATCGGCAATACAAAATAGTGTGTTAATAAAATTGATACTTATTTGTTGATATAAAGCTGCATCATACAGTAAGGAAGAAATCATATGAAATAAAACATAAGTAAAATTGTTTATTGTATTTTTAAAATCTACAGTATTTTTTAAATATATACATTTTTTATCACCTTTTCATTTGACATGTAATACAGAAAATACAATACAGAAAAGTAAAACACAAGAAACATTTTTAAAAAAATTGAACTCAAAACTTAAATGGAAAACAAACTGGTTGGATGTTTTTGAATGAGGTGATTAAAAAATTAAATCAGTGTAAAATTTAAGCAATTTTATGCCAAATATTAAACAAAAGTCATCAATACATCAAATGTAGTCATTAATTAAAAAATTGAAATTTTGTGTAATTGGAATCTGTGACATTTTGTCTCAAAAACATGTTTATATTTATAAAATTAAAAATAATAATGCTATAAAAAGTAACTAAACAAAGTCTAATAAACCTTTTTTTCATACTTTTAATGGAAGTGTTATTCGTGTTATAATTATGTACACTGATACTGCATAATGAAGAAAACCATTGCTTTAAAAGAGTTGGTTGCAAGAAAAGGTTGGGAATCAGTTTTCTACTGTTCTAAGAAGTCATGTAAAAAATGTCGCAATTGTTTCTCCATCATAACAATATATTATCCTATACTCTTTCCAAAAGAATAACCTTCTTGAAGAAATATAAAGTAAATGCCTTTTTTTCTTTGAATTTTGCATATTCTTCAACCTGTCCCCATGGGACATTTTTCTGTCTGCATAGATACAATTATCTTTTCCAAGTTTTGATGGAAAGCAGGGAGAACTTTCATGTAATTAAACTGTTACTACCATATTTATTCAGTAGAAATGTAGATTTATTTTCTATTCTTTTTGGTAGATTTCTGTAACCAAATTCTTAACTTTTATTATGTATTTGGGTATATTATGGCAAAAACAATTTGCTTCTCAGAAAGGCTCTGTTAATAGGAATCTGGTGATTTTATTAATACAGTACAAAGTCTGTAATCTGGACGTCCATTATCTGGAATGATCTATAATCCGGACCTCAAAGCCACAAACTTTTTTTGGTATCCTTTACGCATGCGTGTAATGCGTTTGCGCTTGCGTTTGTGCGTAATGCATTTAAGCATGTGCATGCACTTTGGGAGTTTCCAGATATGTTAAAAAATGCTTGGCATAATTTATGGCCGGCTGAATATTTCATTGTGAGGCCAATGAAGATGATAGCCCCTAATTTGAAGGTTTTTTAACATCGCAAACTAAAGGTGAAATTTTCCAGTTATTGGATTTTGTAAAGAAATGTAGAGAAGCGGTAATAAATGCAACAGAAGTTTTTCATTGCGACGACAATGCCCCAATCATCGGTCAATTAACGGACGGTGAAATCTGTAGTATGGTTCTAGATCCAGAAAATACCTCTTCCGATAGGTGGAACTTTGTAATAGAACAAAAAATTATGTCTGTTTATAGAATTAAAGAGAAAGTATTAGCTCAAAAAACGAAGCAACTTAAACAACTTACATAGAAAAAAATGTTTAATAAAATAAACAAATAAATATTAAGCTTTTTTTTTTTTTTTTGGTAAATTTTGGTACCCTTTATATCATAATTGCTCTTTATTTCGTAAATTACGGTTTCAAACTTTTAATTATATAATTTCTGCATGCCTATCTTACAAGATTTAATTTGATGATCTATAATCCGGAATCACTGAAGTCCTGACGAATCTGGTGTATGGACTTTGTACTCTATAACATTATATTAGTTTAACAATTAATTAAAATTTGGATGGGGAGGAATGTAGTCCCAAATTAAAATATTTTTTAGCATGTGTGGTAAACTATCAAGAGGGAAGAAAAACTTCTTGGAAAAATGTTTAAAGTGATTGCATTGAACTCTGTAGATACAAGAATGTTATTACATATTGATTCCAGTGGTTCCCAAACTGTGTGCGGCGCCCTCTTTGCAGGAGGGCAGCAAAACATTGTAAAAGCTTCATAATTCATTGAACCAAGATATTTTGCCTCACTATACAAAAAAAAAAAAAAAAAAAAAAAAAAAAGTGAGGAGCTAAAATTACCTACAATTTTTGTGATGTTTGTTTTACTTGACCCTGCATAAAAGTAAAGTCACCTGGCACAGAATATTCTTGCGAATGCAAGTTGGCAACACTTTACCTTCATGATCACGCCATATAATTGTACTGTACCTCACGACAATCTAACCTGAGAACGTGTACCTGGCTAGAAATGCCTTTTCATGGCTCATTCCATAAAACGACATCGTAAGCTTTTTTAGATATATTCTAAACATCGTAAGCTTTTTTAGATATATTCTAAAAAAGCTTACGATTTCGATACTTATATACAAAAATTTACTAATATTTCATAATTTGTTCATTATTAAACGTTCAGCAGTGTGGGAACAACCTATGCATGTTTCTTAAATTACTTCGAATGTTCCTGGTAATTGCTAATGATATAACTGAACAGAATTTTGCATAAATGAAATTTATAGAACTATGCTCACTGAACTTAAATTTGTGAATTGAAGATGATTTTGTTAAACCTGAAGATGAGGTACCTGTATTATAAAGTTTTAATTATGTTAATCTTTTGATATTGTGTAATTGTAATAATTTACCAGAGTAATTCATTAATTTTTCTTTCTTGGCAGATGGATAAAGATGAAGAAGAATTTGAACGCCAATTCAAAGATTGGGAGAAACAGTTTGAAGCTTGGAAGGAACAAAACATTAATCATCCAGATAAAGAAGCATTTGCACAGTATGAGAAACAGTGGCAAGAGTGGAGAGCCCAGTTATTACAGAAAAAAGAACAAATGCAAAAGGCTAAAGCAGAACGCCAGGCTGCTGCAAAAACTGGTGGAGCAGATGCTCAGTCTGTTCAGCCTTCAACCGTTGTGACTTCAACTGGTATGCTAACTTTTATGAATAAAAAAATTACTATTATTGAAAGTAGAAAAATCTGAGGAAGCAAATTTTGTTATTTAAAATAATAATAATAATAATAAATCTAAAGGTATAATTAATGGTTTAAGTAAAATTTGTGGGATAATCTTTCATGCCTCAGTATTGAGCTCAAAATAAGATTAGATCAACATATGATTAAGCGGTAAAACATAAAATGTTAAAAATATAGATTCTTAATGTTAACAGGGAGTCTCTCATGCCAAACAACTTAAATGCTGACACAAAATTTATCTAGAAGGTGACTCTAATGTTAGGTACAGCTTCATTAAAGGAATGATTATTTTATTAAATTCAGAATAAATACACCTCCCTTCCCAAAAATGCTAATAAATATAGTAATATAAAATAGATTTTCTTAGAATGATTGCAGATTGCACAGCAGGCATAATGCTGCTGATTTCATTTAACTTTGCCAAAAATATTTGCTGCTTCTCATGCAAATTGATACCATATGATTTCCACAAGGTAGGGATTTTAGGTAGTTGTCATTGTTGCACATTTATGATTGGGTTTTACTTACCATTTTCTGTTGGTAATTGTTAAAAGAAACATGAAATGAAAACTAATACACAACTGAAATAACAATTGAATATATGTAGACAATTTTATACATGCCATGTTCAGGTCAAATGAAAATAATAGCTTTGTCTTGCAAAACTCTAGATGTAGATTGTTCGTTTCTTGACAATAGCCCCTGTATTGATTCTTTTCTCAGAAAAGATCAGCACTAACAAGGCAACTGAAAATCTGGGAATGAAAATTATTAGATTTGTGTTCATTCTTTCTGATTATTCATTTTGACATTTGCACAACTACTTATGCTAAGCAGATTATGTAATTAGATGATTTGGTGCACAAATTATGATTGCACCGATTAAAAAAAAAAAGGAATGCCAAAAATATTTTGCAGGGGAAAGCAAATTTTTTTAAACAATCTAAAGTCCTAGCATTTTTTTTAAAATTTATATTCAAAAATTAAGAAATAGAATTCAACCATTCATTGGTTTTGTGCTTAAAAATATTTCATGTCCTTTAAAGGTTAGAAACGGTGGCCTTTTTTTTTTCTTCAAATGCAAATTAATAAGTCCTAAAAATAATGCTGAAAATAACACTTGTTTGCAAAAATTTTGTAACGCATTAAATTCTCAACTTTTATGCCACAGCAAATGAATATATTAAAGATTGTTTCAGTATGTTTCAATGTATGCCAACTTTTATGCCACAGCAAATTAATATATTAAAGATTTTTTCAGTATGTTTCAATGTACGCCATACTGTTACTACATGTATTTTAGCAGGATAAGTTATATTTGTAGCTTTGAAAATCTTTGCACTATATTTCAGTTTAATACATGCTTTACCTGGAAACTCTCAATTTTTCATTGTGTATCCCGGTGTAGATCATTAAATATAGTTTTTAATTTTTAGCTTTTACTATTTTTATTTTAATGACACTTAAATTAGGCAAATTCCATTCCCCCCACATTTAATGATTTTTAGAGTAATTTTTCTTATTAAATTGTATTTGATCTGAATTGTATTTTTTTGTATTGCATTTTATTGAGCGTTGTCTTAATTTTTTAAAAATATTTTATTTGATCTGAGTTGTAATTAATATTTGCATTTAATTTTGCTTACTTCAGCGTATGGGACATTACCAGGTTTATCCACACAAATACCACATACATCAATTACTAATTTTATTTTCATCCTATTTAAAATTACTTTGATAAGTAAAAGCTTTCCTTTAGTACTCAGGATTTTCTGAGTGTAAAAGTGTAGGAAATTAAAAGACTAGAAAATTTAGACTATCCAGTTAAATGCTTATTTGTTTTACATCAGAATTGAATTGCAAGTAATTAGTTAACCTGAACCATGCATTGTAAAATGCATTAAAGTCAGTGTATGGAGTTCCTTTGAAATGATGTCTCTGCGCAAGGTGAAATCTTCCCCGTTTCTTCCGGTTTTCTCATAAAACTCTTTTGGGACTTTAAGCTATGGTGTGTGCCATATATTAGAAATAATGCTTCGAAAGATTTCAAATTATAGAAATTTTTTTGTAGCATATTATGTTGTATAATTAATTAATTAATCTGCATTTTGCATTGAATCATTTTTCCGATGCATGTAAATATATTAATTCTCTTCCTAAATATACATAGCTTAGAATTCAGTGTTATTAATTTTCTTTTTTAAAAGAATGATAAATTGCAGTTTTTGTTTTATGTAATATTTTTTTTATATTTGCTACAGATTTTCAAATGTATTTTTAATTTTTTAAAAATAACTCTATAGTAAGGGATAATTTATGACTTTCTCATTTAAGTTCCAGGTCTTAATACAATAAATACACAAGCAAGTGTACCAAGTGTACCAAGTGTACCAAGTGTTCCAAGTGTTCCAAGTGTTGCTAGTGTTGCTGATCCAGCAGTAGCTACAGCTGCTGCTTCTAATTCAAACCTGTATTATCAAACACCTCAGTATATGTATGTGCAACCATATGTGTATCCTAGTACTGTTCCAGTTGCTCCTCCAGCAGTGCCTCAACAATATCCTTATTCAGGCCAAGGCGTAACTGCTCCTACTGGGGATAATTTTGTAAATCAAACCCAAACAGTTCCACCGTCAGGACCACCACCACCTCTTTCAGTGCCTCCACCGCCTATCACCAATCCCAGCATGGTATGTTCTATGAATATAAATACAAAAACATGCAGTGGTATTTAAACTTTATGGCAGTGGAACCCCATAAAATTGCAATTGCCCTCCAAACAATTTTGCGACTCCAATCAGAACCTTAGTTATATATCATTAGTTCTGATTTTTTAGGATTTTTATCCACTTTGCGACTCCATCATAAATTATGGGTTAAGGTTGCAATTTCATAGTTTGAATACTACTGCTCTAATATATGAATAACTGCAAATGAGTGCAAAAGGATATGAAATCTAAATTATATAAATTTGTCTCTGTAATTGAAAATTTCTATTGTGTATGTATTTATGTAGTATGTAAAGGTAAAAACTATACTCTTATTCATACATATTATTTTTATGCTATTTATTTTAGTTTATCATTTGTGGATTTTAAACTTCAAGTTACTGTATAAAATTCATGCATTTTTAAAAACATAATTTACAGCTTTTCTTTGTTAATTTTTTATAAAATCTTGCAAAATTTTTCTGATATGTATATAATGATATTAATATTTTTTGAAAAGGCTGTTCTCTTCAGGACATTTGTGTAACAGAAGACCCAAGTTTAATATTTTGCAGTAAAGGTGAATCATTGGGACTTTAACTAGTAGTACTGTATTTCTTCTATTATAAGGTGTGCCCCCGTTTGGGGGGAGGACACCTTTACAAACAAGATATAATTTAAAACTAACTGCATCGTAAAATTGCAAGCTTTTGTATTCCTTAATTTTCTTACACTTGAAATTCAACATATAGTGATTTGTTTTTATGCATTTCTTCATTTAAAGAATATTGATTAATATAATCTATCTCATTATCTTATAATACATTATTTGTGGGATAATGGGGGGGGGAATGGGGAGAATAGGACTAAGTATGAATTAGGCTCTAATATTGCTGAAGATGTGGGCATCTGCAGGTCAGACGAATAAAATTCCATGCTTATTCAAAAGGAAGTAATTCATATTGTATCTGGTGATAAAAAGATGCTATTTCTGTCAGTAAATCAAGTTTATAATTTTCATAATACAAAACACATTTAGGTTTTTGTTTCATTTATTCATTTCCTTAAAACTTCTTTGAAATCAGTTTATTGTGCTAATATTAATCTTCTGAATGATGTGATTGTCTTCATCTGTCTCTGTCCAAGTGAAAAAACAGCTCTTGCTACAGAGCTTTAAGAAATATTTCAAATCAAGGACATAGAATTGATTTATATTTTGTAACACATGAAAGTAATTCTTTTTGCATAGGCACCACAATTAATGCATAAAACTATATGATTAAAAGTATTTGAATCCCAAAATGTAAAAAAATATAAATCCCCCCTCCAAGCTTATATTATATAACTAAATTGTATATAGAACATAAATTTTACCTGGACAGAAATTATACTAGCTGAAATGATTTGAATTCAAGTTATCAGTTATTTTTAAGTAAAATTGAAAAATCTAATTATTAATAATAAAATTTAGTATAAACATAACTGGGATTAAACAACAATTTTATGTGAGTTATGATTAAGAAAGATTAAAAAGGGAAAGTCATCAAATGTTGAGCATCTTTCAATTAAAGTATAACTTAATTCAGGATAATTGTTTAGTATCATATGGTATAAATACATTTTAACAATTAATGCATAAAATAGTTGCTATGAATAATGATGCTATGATATAAAATGCTATGAATAAAAACCTGTGTTAAAAGTGAACGAAAAAAGGAAAATGAGTAAAAATTATTGCAACCACTGTGCTTAAAATTGTTTCAGATGATACTGAGGTCTTCATCTGAAGATCAAATTCTAATTTTTTTTAATACTATTTTTATTTTCTAAGTTTTTTTAAAATATTTTTTGCAACTTTTTGAAGCTTTAATGGTCTTTCAATGTGTTCAACTGTAATTTGAAGTGTGCAGATTGTTGATTTTTCAGTATTCATGATTTTTCATAGATGTTTCATTACGAGCAATCTGCACATTTTGTCCCCTTATTTAACTATTTTTTTCCACTATTAAAAATTGTATGTGAGAAATGATTTATGCAAAATCCCCCCCACTACCACACTTTCCCAAATAAGCTGTAGAAAGTATTTGTAGTGTAGTGTAGTGTAGTGTTTATAGAAGGAATTTAGCTATTTACTTAGTGTGTTGTATGTACATATTGTATGTACATGTATGTATTTACTTAGTATTGTAGAAGTTGAAAATGTACTCATTCATGTATTATTTAGACTTTAGTCCAGTGAGCTTTTCTCTTTAAAGGGTAAAATTGAAATTTTAATAGCAATGATTAATCTAAGTGTGATTTATATTTTCTAGAATATCAAAAATATTCTAGAAAATGTACCCATTCATGTATTATTCCTTTAGACTTTAGTCCATTGAGCTTCTCTCTTAGATGGTAAAATTGAAATTTTATAGCAATGATTAGTTCAAGTATGATTTATATTTTCTAGAATATCAAAAATATGAAAGATTTTGAAAGAAATAAAGAACCATTTCAATATGGACAAATTAGAAAAGATGCACCCAGTCAAGATACGTATCAGAATTTTGAAGGATTTGAGAATTCTAATACATATGCTCCAGAAACCGATGTGAGTAAATCTTTTAGTATACTGTGTTATGTTAATAGAAAAGTTAACATTTATGTTTGAAAGGAGAGCATTCATTTTTTCCTGCAGCTGTGTTATTTTTATTAATGGATATCAGATCAATATTGCTGCAGTTTTTGTTTTAGTTTTTGTGAAATGTAATTAATGTAAATTAATTTCATGTGACTCAACAGGAACAATTTAAATGGAATTCAGGACGTGGACGTGCTAGAGGAAGAGGTCGTGGCCGTGGCCGAGGAACAAGAGGCAGAGGAGTTGGAAGATGGGTAAGATAAATTTCAGATCTTTATAATGTAAAGCAACTCAGTGCGTTAGTATCAGATAAGATATTCCCTACCTTGACACTTCAGAAAGGAGTCTCGGATACAAAAATTTTTTTCCAATTTCATAATATCACAAAAAATTTTTTAGTTTTTCTACCAGTTGGTAAATATCATCTATCTGTTAACCCACTGACTGCTCAATTTGGGGACCGAAATCACTTCCAAAATTGCTATATATATATATATATATATTTTAAATCTATGTATATTGGAGAATTGAAAAATTCACTTTTTTCTTTCTAGAAAATATTTTTATATAGATTTTTATCATGAGAAACTAAGTTGCCAGAAAAACGAATTTCAGATGTCATCACAAAAAAAAAAATTTGTTTTTTAAATAAATTTCTGTCGAATTACAGTTAATTTCTATTTATTGCATAATATAAAAAAGTAAAATGTATAAAATTTAAGAAAATATAAAGCGCTAAGGGAAAAATACCTTAGAAAGCAGTTTAGTAGAGTTCAAAACAGGGTTCAAGGCAGAGTCCAACTGCACAGTCTTTGCACCAGATTCAATAAATCTAATTAATAATTCAATAATTTAATCAAATATTCAAGATAATCGCTGAATGTTTTCTAGCAGCCATTTCTGTAAGAAAAAAGAGGCAAAAAGTGAACTTTGAGCGCTAAAACCACGTGCCTTCAAATGCCGTAATTTAGTGGACTACTAACGATATTTGTTGGCCAAAACATAAACTAAACGCCTAATACTGTATATAATTTATTTCAATGATTAAATGGAGAAAAAATGCGGTGCGCTCCTCAATAAAGGAAATCGCGGGATGAGCAAATTTTGCTACATTTTAGTTGCCTGTGGAAATCACAGGATGATCAGCTAGAGGGTTAAGATGTATTTCAAGTGCAAAAACGATAATTTAACATCTACTACTGTGACAAAGAGCATATTGAAAACATGAGAAAGCCATGAAATTCCAAGTAACGCCAACTATGCTTTTACCCTTTGAAACTTAAGAAGTATTCCCAATTTTCTAATGGTCATGATTTTTCGCACCTCCTAAACTACAGCTTTCTAACCAGAAAAAGTACTTGTGTGTCTTCCTGTCGACCATAAAATTTGACAGAAATTTCACCAAATTTGCTGTCTCCAGCCTCACTTCAGATCTTCTCAACTGCACTGATATGTACAGCATCTAAATATGTTCTTAAGGTAGATTCACAGGGGATTTCTTGTTTCATGTTAATTTCGAAAATTCTTTTCAGATTTTTTGACTTTCCAAAATGGAATGATGCTATTTAACACGAATGCTTTACACAAATTATTGCAAACTTATTTTGGCATGATGTTGTTATTATAAATGCTGGTGAAAGTTCTGTCAATTGCAGATTTACATTGTAGTTTATTTAAATGCTTATGAAAGCACAGACTGTTTTTTCACAAACTACAGAACAGCACTGCTCGTACAGATGCTCATTCCATTCTTTTGCAGAATTATTATTTTCTCTTTCAGTGGAAGACCTATTTTAGCCATGGTAAAATATTTCAAAAGGTATTGAGACAAATGAAACAGAAAAAATTTTATCAGAATTTACTCATCATTCCTGTTAGTTGTTTTCTCCAGGAATTTACTCTGCTTTTGGTGAACAATACCTTTCCTCTAAGAGGAGTGTTTTTTTCTTACTTTATTTATCTTATAATTGGTGATTAACATCAGATTACAATAAGAAGAAATGTCAGATATATATTTGGGAAAAAAATGAATGAAAATTAACCACTTGCGCTAAAAAGATGTGCCATGCATGTCGAGATGCTTTTGTCTTGAACTGCGCGCAAAAATGAAAATAACGTGGTGCACATGTTGCCTAACAACGAGATTGTTTATTTCTCAAGTTACAGCTCTGGATTGCACTCGCAGACGCGGAGCGGCGTAAATGAGACACTTTACCGCTTTCTATATTGTAGCGCACGGCACCGCAACTGTGAAGCTTAGTCGTAGCGCAAGTGGTTAAGAAATGAAGTGGTAGGTCAATACTCACAATAAGAAATGAAGTGGTAGGTCAATACTCATAATAAGTGGCATTATTCAAAACACTGTGAATGCCAAAATATGGCATTTTGACATTTGTTCCTTTTTGTAACGATGAAGTTTAAAAAATTTTGCAAATGTTGCATATCAGCACAGTCCAATGAAGTATAGAACTAATATGTATGCTGTAGTGGATGTCGGGCATTTTTTATAAGTGAGATAGCAATCAAAAGCTTCATTCAGATTTGAAAATTCATAACCTGAAATTATGAAATGGCTTTAAACTCATGCTTTGGATGTGAAAAAAAAAAAAAATGATCGAGAATTGGTTCACAGTTTACCTGCCAGCTAAAAAACTTTTGTTAAGAGAAACTCGTTGCGAGAACATTTAAGAAAAATAAAGCAGTCGTCAGAAAACAAAGGAAAGGTATAATTCCTATGTAATTTGGCTTTCAGAAAGATGACAGTAGTATAGATTATAAAAAAAAAAGAATCCATAGTATTCTGGTATCTGTGGTAGTATATAACAGTGGTAATAAATAAACTGTTGGTACACTGCCCCCCCACCAAATCTGAAATAATTAGGTTCTATAAATGAACTAAAGGTAGGGTAACTGTCATTATCGAAATGTCAAGCTTGTTCGTACTGTTTGGAAGACTGATAACTAGTGCTAGCATTTTTTTTTTTAGAATGTGGCAGATATAAGTGTATGATAAGTTGTAGAATGTGTTTAAAAATATTGCCGTTATTACTTGGAAATTTACAAAGTAAACATTTTTTTTATATGAATATTACTTAAAAAGCTGCTAGAAGAAATCATCCTCCCTGAAATGAAAAAGAGCTGCGGTCGGTTGACAAAAAGAATGAAGCATGATAAATGTGCAATTTCTTTTCTAGAAGTTTCTGAATTTCTTGTTTCAAATGCAGCTATTTCACTTGAAAGGTTCAGTTGTATTACATCCATGATCTATAGTTTTAAAATTCAGTAAAAGTATTAATCTATATTTTGAAAAATTTGGCAGCAATCATTATTAATAGAACTTAGATACTTGGATATTTTATACTGGCATTTGGCTACTTCATATAAGTAGGTATTTCCAATTATCTGAATTTAATACCTAATATTACGCCTGAATGTTTATAAATTAATTTTCTATGGAGGATCTGGAAATAGAAAGTGAAGTTCTTTAAGCTCTGAGCCTTTGAGCATCATTGCAGTCCACTTATTAATTATAAAATAGAGCACATAAAAATCTCGAGCTGAACTGGCCACAATATCTGATCTGCTAGAAAAGTCATCAGTCTGGAGGCTGAGTCCTGACAGGGAGATCATCAGTGACCAGTGAGCTGGGAGAAGCAAATTCCTTCCTTACAAATAATTTTTCTGTGTAGTTAAAATTAATTCATTTCGGCCTTTTCAAGTATTTCCACCATGGAAAGTTCAATTTTCAGTATTCCTAGTGAAGAGTAAAGTCCTTCTGCACTTGCTGGTAAGGGTCATGATATCTAAGTAATTCCCTAACAGCATTGACACACATTTCGACTATCTCATGCACAGCTGTCAGTATTAGTATTCAGGTTCAAGATTCAGCTTTCAGGAATTTTTCCTGTGAACGGGAGCAGCATCATCAGTCAAATTTATTTAATTGAAGTAAAATTCATTCTAGGAGGTTGAATTTTAGGTTTGGAATGCATTGGAGAGGATTTTACTAAGTGATCAAAGCCACATCTCTTTGTTTTTCACCCTTGGGAAGTTTGCTGGTGTAAATCGAGATCCTGAGTACACTTGTAACATATTCTGACTTAATATTGCGTGTGATCTGTCTGTGGCTAAACCTGTGGCGTCAAAAGCACATCATAGGAATATTTTGCTAGCATGTACTTTTTAATGCTAATTTTCGTATTGAAGTTGTGAGTGTTTAGCAATGATAAATCTGCTTTTCCACATCAGTGCATTGCATTTCCATGAAAAAGGACAGGTAGTAACTCGAGCTTCGAATTTCTTCTATGAGAATTTTATCAAAAAATAAATTTTTCTTTGTGTTCATTTAGCATTTTTTTTGGATTAGTGTCAGCAGAAAGTACTCTAATATCTGCTTTAATACCATTTAAATAACAAAATACACCTTTTTCCTGTGAAGGTGTTAAGGCAAGTATCCACTTTCTTAAAGCTGACTAATGCCCTCTTATGCCAGTGGAAGAAAACGTTAGCATGAGAATATCAAAATAATCTCTTCTGCTTCATGAAAGGCAGATAACTAAAGACAACTATTTTTTTCATAGGTTGAATAGAATCAGCTGCTGTATGCATTTCCAACTGGTTTTTATTTATTTATTTATTTTTTTTTAAATGCAGTGAAAATTTTCATGAAGAGCATCCAGATCATCTGTTTTTAAGGAATCAAGTTAGTTTGAGACTGCATGACCCAAAGTCGGAATATCATGTTCTTGAAGAAGTTGCTTGGCTGGTTTATCAAGAGAAGTTGAAGTGCTTTCCTTATCTGTTATTTTTCTGATTAGGTTACTTTCTCAGAGTTCTCTTCCTCAAGCTTAATCCATTTCTTTTGTTTTGATGTCATGTGCAGAATCTTCTGTTTTAACAGCCTTGCCTATCTCGGCAGATGTCCAGTTTTAACATCGTGAGCAGCTTTAACAGTCTGAACAGTTGTGGCAGTTGTTTTGAATATTCATACAAAGCATTGAGTTCACCTAAATCAGTTTGATAATTTCAGGTATCCGCTTGAGCATTTTCTGTTTGCACATTGTGTGTGTGTGTGTGTGTGTGTATTACACATTATTAGAAAATTCACATGAAATAATGCATAATTAAAAAAAAAATTCTATGATCAATGATTTAGGATAATCTGAATATGTGATAAGAATTTTATTGTCATAAAAAATCATTGCTAGTGGCTACATTTCGTACCTTATAATTACATCTACAGCAGCAGTTAGATTGAATCATGCATGCTGCAATTAAGTATCCTTTCACCTGTGACCTTAAGCTGTTGTGTTTAATTCATTTGTTAAGGGAAATTTATCAATAAAATGTAGTATCATCTTTAGATAGAAAACATGTAATAATTGAAATAGCTGGATTTTCATTCATCTGTAATTAGTCATTGTAGCTGCCTTTGAATTTATCTGTTCATTTCTGTTGTATATTCTTTCTAACAAAGATTTCAGACTGTGCTGTGCATTTTTATTGAATATCATTATAGCCTTATGGTTTGTTTTTCATGTTAAAATGTATTTTTTTTCCAAATATAATTTTTTTAAATGGAATCTGATCTTAATTCTGACAAGAGTCCACTCTTAGTTGTTTAATAATATTACTTAAAAAATTTGGAGAGATGTTCTGCTTCATAAATTTTCTTAAAAATTTGGATACTACTTTTTTTGGAGGGAGACCAATGGCTAACATTTTACATATTTTAGAATTTATTCTTCCTCTTCCTTAACTATTGAGTAGTAATTAAAATGTATAAACTTGATGAAGTGTATAATTAATTTCCCCCGTTGTTGTTTTAAGGTAAAAATTGTTGCTTTTTAAAATTTTTCTAATTTAATATCTGATTTTTTTCAGTCTGAGAATGAAGCTGAAAATCGACCTGGAGAAAATTTGAATAAAGGACCACCTGGATTTCATGACAATTCAGGAAATTTTAATGAAAAGTAAATAAGTAAATTTAGTTATTAGTATGCATATATTAAAATTTTAATTAATTTATGATGTTTTCATTCTTTATTCATTTTGTTTTAAATTAGTGTTACAGATGGGTCAGCTCCAGCATTTGAATATCCATCTGAGGATTTCCAAGGAGATTCACAATTTCCTAAAGAACAACCTGGACCAGGACCAAGACAGAATCCTCCTCCTGGAGGCCGATTTCCATATCAAGAGGAGCCACGAACATATCCCCCCGATGGATTTGATGAATCTTTTCCACCACCTGCATTTGAAAGATTTCCTCCTGATTCTGAAAGAGAAAGGTTTCCACCTAATAGTGAAAGGGATTCATTTCCTCCTGGCCCTGAAAGAGGACTGTTTCCTTCTGGTCCCAAAAGAGGTCCGTTTCCTACTGGTCCCGAAAGGGGTCCATTTCCACCTGGCCCTGAAAGGAGTCCATTTCCTCCTGGTCCCGAAAGGGGTTCATTTCCACCTGGTCCTGAAAGAGGCCCATTTCCACCTGGTCCTGACAGAGGCCCATTCCCTCCTGGACCCGACAGAGGCCCTTTTCCACCTGGTCCTGACAGAGGCCCATTTCCTCCTGGACCCGACAGAGGTCCGTTTCCTCCTGGACCTGACAGGGGGCCATTTCCTCCTGGACCTGACAGAGGACCATTTCCTCCTGGACCTGACAGAGGCCCATTTCCTCCTGGACCTGACAGAGGCCCATTTCCACCTGGTCCTGAAAGAGGCCCTTTCCCACCAGGACCACCTGAAAGAAGTAGATTTCCTCCCGGCCCGAACAGGGATCGCTTCCCACCTGGACCAGAAAGAGAAGGTTTTCCTCCTGGTCCTCAAAGGAAGCGCTTTGCTCCTGGTCCTGACCAAGATAGTTTTCCACCTGGCCATGAACAGGATCGTTTCCCACCTGGACCAGAAAGAGACCGTTTTCCACAAGGCCCTGAAAGAGAACGCTTTCCGCCTGGACCTGAACGGGATCGTTTTCCTCCTGGACCTGACCGTGATCGATTTCCTCCTGGTCCACCTGGTCCAGAACATGATCGATTTCCTCCAGGACCTGAAAGAGACAGATTTCCTCCTGGTCGCAAAAATGAAGGGTTTCCTCCTGGTCGCAAAGGTGAAGGGTTTCCTCCTGGTCCTGAAGAAGAGCAGTTTCCTCCTGGCCCTGAAGGTGAACAATTTCCTCCTGCACGTGAAAGAGAACCACTACTTCCAGGAAATGGCAGAGAGCGATTCCCACCTGGTCCAGAAAGAGAGAGGTTTCCTCCTGGCCCTGACAGAGAGGGTTTTCCTCCTGGCCCTGAAAGAGAAAGATTTGGTCCAGGCCCTGATAGAGAAAGGTTTCCACCAGGTCCTGAGAGGGATGCTTTTCCACCTATGGAAGATGAACGTTTCATGATGGAGAGAGACTTTGATAGATATCCTCCTGAAGATGATATGTATGGACCTCCACCATTTAGAGAAGAATTCCCACCATTTGATGATAGATTTCCTGGTCGAGGAAGATTCCCAGGACGAGGTAGGAGGTTTCCTCGAGGAGAATTTGATAGATTTGGACCTCCTCCTCCATTTGCTCCAGGCATGCAAGAGGATAGTCCATTCGGGCCACCCGATTTTCCCCCTCCAGATGAGAGGTAAATTTTATATTTCTTTTGGATTGTTTATATTTTCTATACTCTGTATAATTAAAAAATTGTCATTTTATTTTTATGTCAGTGTTTTTGTAATTGTTTGAGCAATATTTTTTTATAACATAAAACAATTTTTTTACTTTTCTTCTGTATGCTGGAAAAGCAAAGTACTATGTGAATCTTCCTTAATGGGGGTGGGACACATCTATCAATTTTTCATAATTTTTGTGAAAACTGATGTTTTTATAATTTTTTGCGTGAAGGATTTGTGAACAAAAACTGCGTTTCATAATAAATAATAATAAAAATCTTGGAAAGAGGGGGGAAAGATCTTTGACAAAATTCTTTATTTTTTGTTTTTGTTTTTTGTTTAACAGATAATTAAAATCATGTCTAAACTAATTGTTGCTATTGCACCTGGGGAGTAAGAGTATTTTGTATTTTTTGTAGAGATACCAAAAATTGTCCAGTTACCGCAATTTGTCAGCAGATCTGTTTTGGCACATATTTTTATCATATTATGTGGTGACGAAATGGTAAGCCTGTTGTTAGCTTTGAGATTACCATTCTTCACCAGCTGTAATCAGATAAATCCATTTCCTGCACTTAGAGGGAAGATTTCGTCACTTCTGTATTTTTATATTGTGTGCCACTAAGTTTAGTGATTAATTGCCATTTTATAAGGTTCTTTTGGCAAAATCTCGGTCACGATTTTGCAATTTTGCTAATTTTTTAACAGTATTGTGTAATGCCATAAAATTTCCAATAATTTACTGCGATTATATAAAATCAAAGCATATATCTTTCTTCTTGATTGTTTCAGAATATCTAGCTTTTGTGTTGGGTGATTTTTTTTGGGTGGGGGGAGGTGTAATTTTTGTCAAAAATTTTTTTCATTAACTTGGAATCATGTGAGCTGTTGATTGAAAATATATGAAATAGTGTAAAGTATGGCATGCATGTTATTTGATAAAATGAGTACAAAAAATATTTCTAGTATTTTATCAGTTTACAAGGAGGTATTAAAGAATCATGCAAGAAAAACAAGAATTTAGTAACTTGTGGATGTGATTTTATAATGTCATGGTGGTAAAAGTGATGTTACGAACCATCTGAAATAAATAATAACCAAAAAGAATGTTGAAAACTAGCACAAAAATCTATTAAAAAATCTGACTGATTTTAAAATTAGTATTATTTGGGCCAAGTGTTCTTTTACACAGATTTTTGATTGGACAGAAAATTGCTTCGAATGCTGCATATCATGTTATTTCTTCGTTTAGAAAGATGCTTTCTGATTCAAGTGGATCAAAGAAATAGTCATGTGCTAAAACAAAAATTTCCACCATCCTTAGTGAAATGGCAAATTATCTAAAAAGACGGGATAAACAAAGTCTACCTTGAATGACTGCAAGTTGTATCCATTTGTTGGAACATATTTTAATATAGCAGAGGATGAAATAAAGAAACTATTTTGTGTTTTCCTAATTGGTAACTTAACTAGTCAGAATATTTCATCAGTGAATGATTATTAACCTACTCGAAAGCACAAGGGGTTATTATATCCCACTCCTACATAAAAAAAAAGTGTAATAATCCCAATTTGTTCCAGAACCGATTTTCCATTGTGGGTATGAAGGAATATTTATTTGTGAAATTTGTTTCTAGAGTGTAACAGTAAATATATCTGCTCTCAAGCGATTTTAAAGTATCTGAAATTATATTTTAAAAGATTTCTAAGTACATTGTGACAAAAAAGAACATGTTCATATGAATTGGAGATGGAACGGCTACTGCGAGAATTATTAGAAGTACTTGAAAGTGGTGAAGATGAATCTGACAGTGAACTATTTAGTGAACATAACACAGATACAGAAGAAAAAGATGATATCAATGATTTTATTGGAAAAGATGGAAAAAGTGTGTGTGTGGGGGGGAAAAGAAATTTAGACAAAATGTAAGAGTTTGTTCATGTAATATTATAACTCGCGTAATGTCTTCCAGGACCTGTAAGAGAAGCCAGAAATCTAACTGATCCGTTTAGTAATTGGAATATTCTTATTGATAATACAATATTATCAATCATTGTAGAATGCCCAATTTATGTAGTTCTGAGATTGCTTTACGTTATAAATATGAAATGGAAAAGCTATGGACGTGGTCGAGATGAAAGGACTTATATAGGACTTTAATATGTGTCTGGCCTTCACAAGTCATGGCACCTCAATGTAAAGGACCTTGCAGGTATTGAAATTTTTCACACAACTATATCCTATAAGCAATTTTTATTTCTTTCATATTGCAGGAGTTTCAATAAATTGCTAGTCAGGCCACAGATAAAATGCTTTGATAAAACAGCCGCAGTTAGATTTCCTTGAAAAATTTATTTCAAAATGTAAAGATTCCTATAGTTTAGGTGAGTATGCCACTATTGATGAGAAACTTGAAACTTTTCGGTGCCGACGTGGGTTCCAGCAGTATATAATGAACAAACCAGCAAATTACGAAATCAAGATTTTATGCACTGGTGGACTATTTTTTATACTGCGGTGCACAGCTAGATGGTTCCTTCAGGGTCAGTACCAGTTCATCTGACATTGTAAAAAGACTATTCCAACCACTATAAATATGGCAAGAACATTACTATAGATAATTAGTGTACTAGTTACCTATAGTACTAGCTGTGGATCTTCTAAAAGAAAACAGTTTTGTCAATAGTAGGAACAATGTGGGAAAACAAAAGGGGAATTTCTCCTACGTTTGTTACTTCTAAAGGAAAGTAAATATTTTCTGCAGTGTATGTTTTTAAAAAAGATAAAACGTGTTCCTAACAAAGGAAAAACTGTTCTTGGGCTTTCAACATTAAAAAATGATGAAATGTTTCTTAAAATAGGGTAGCGACTCCAAAATGTGGCATAAATTGAAATTTTGAGGCCACGAAAATTCAACCTGAGAGTTGAATTTAAAGAAACTGCATTCATAAGACTTTTAAAGAAATTATATTAATTAACATTAATGTGACTAGAATTATAAAGATACATGAATTGATATTAATGAGATTAATTACCTGTTATATAAAGCGTAAAAGGAATTTGTAAAGCTATCTAACGATTCAAACCTAAAACTTGAGTTTTCACTAAAATCCTTGATAAATTCTGGATTGTAGTTAGATCTAGATTTCTCATTATTTCTGAAATGCCAATAAATGTTCATCTCTTGTTCAGCATGGCACCATATGGTTCAGCATGGCACCATATGCTTTTTCAGCTTTAGCTGTAATTAAAATCAAATATTCAATGTTGAAACATGTTGAAGATGCTTTATGTCCAGCAGTGTCAAATATCGCACCAACATTTAATTTATTATGCAGGAGAAGACAAGCATATCTGTGTCATTAGAATTTTCTTTAAATTTTATTAACCTGTAATAAATCCTAATACAGTCAAAAGTCGTTAATCCAGACTCGTCGGGACTTCGGCGATTCTGGATTATCGATTTTTCCGGATTATAGATCATCAGTTTAAATCTGGTAAGATGGCATGCAGAAATTACAAAATTAAAAATATGAAACCGTAATTTATGAAATAAAGAACAATTATGATCTAAAGGGTATCAAAATTTACAAAAAGAAAAAGCTTAATATTTATTTGTTTACTTTATTAAACATTTCTTTCAATGTAAGTTGCCTTGTTTCATGTGATAATATTTTCTCTTTAATTCTATTAAACAGACATAATTTCTTGTTTGGTTACAAATTTCCGCTGTTCAAGTCCTATAATTGCTGTGTTGAGAATACCAACTAATTTGTCAATCGAAATGTTTTCGTTTTCAATAACCTGTGGGTCACTTTCTTCGCTATCGGAAGCGAATTATAATGACGAGAAACTTGATTTAAATCATATCAAACACGGAGTACATTGAGTTGAAATACTACACTTAGTAAGGAATTATAAGCCAAATAAAATAAAAACATCTGTCCAGAAGATAAGGATAGTGCTGACAGACCAACTTCCAATCCGCAGCGTGAAATTGATAAACAGATTTCGGATTTCAAAACATACTTTCGCTTTGTAGATACAAATTACATATTAGTAAATATATATCGGAAATTCTATTTGACATAATCGAAAGTTCAAGCTTACTTTTATGAAATTGCTCTAACAGTCCGCAAAAAATAATAAGCCGGATCCAATTCAAAGATTAAGGAACAACGCAATCTGCAACATTAACTGAATTAAATAATTTTTGCTTAGATTATACCATTCGTTACACATTAAACGCGCATGCGCAAAAACATATTCGCAGCCGTAAAGGTCTCATGTGCACTCGTAAATGCCTGTGCGCATGCTACAAACGCGACGCATGCGCAGAAAGTTTGTAGCTTTGAGGTCCGGATTATAGATCATTCCGGATTATGGGTGTCCGAATTAACGACTTTTGACTGTATATATGTATACTGTTTACCAAAGAAGTAAATTATTTACCAGAGGTTATTTGTTTTTATATCTTTATTTTATATTTAGCACTAGAATTACGGTGATCTTCGTATACCTAGAATTATAGCGGGTGTCATTTTGACCCCTTGATAAGATATCTGCATATTTCTCTATATGATATAATATATTTGTGAAAAAGAAGTTAAAATAACGCAAATTATGACAACTACAGTTTATTTTAAAGAATATAGAGACTTTGCAGGTATTTAGTCAAATAATGAACAAGCATTTAAATATTTCCATCGGAAAATGTAATTCCCCCCCTCCCCATTTTCGATAGCTTGCATTTCAGAAACACAGAAAATAAAATGTATAAATATTTACGCAAACTTTTCCAAAAAAAGTGGTTTTTAATCCAAATATTAAAGTATTTTAAAACAGACTCTTTGCTATAAAGAGTACATAGAAATAGAAATATGTGGAAATATTTTTACAGATAATATATTAGTCAGCGCAGCAATTAGCACACACGCTTATCTTTCTGATTTTTTGTGTACAATATTTGCA